TGATGATGAGTTCGTCGTGTAAATGAGGCGTGAGCTGAAAAGCTGGGAAACACCGGGTTCGATTCCCAGTTGGGTCGATGTGTTCACACTGCTGATGAGACCCAACCAGGTCGAAACAGCTGTCCAGCGCTTACCAGCTTTTTAGCTCACGCCGCATTTACACGATGAATTCATCATGGAAAACATATTATAGTATTTTGCATTTAGAAATACCGATTCAGTGTCTGGATTAGCAAGCCCTCAATAATTTGAAAAGAGAATCCAGCATAGCAACATTGCACGATTTATATCCTGGATGATTTCGCTGCATCTCAACTGGTGTCTACTACAGATAAATACAATATCTATAAAGCGTTTGGGAATGGAGTACAAAAAAAATCATTTGGAAATTGGGGGAAGCGTCACCAAGGCAAAGCCAAGGTAATGAACAAGTCTTTGTTGACACAGAATTGGTTTCCATCTCCAATAATTACCAAAAGCCTTGCATAGTGGTTATGCAATAGTGGTTCAAGGGACAAAGCGGATTCAATAACATATCTGATTGCCATGATGTGTTTTGCAATAGATGACCCAAGGTTCCTTGGGATCGCCTTACTACTGGGTGTGGATTGTATGATTGACTTCAGTGTCCGCATCGGGATGTGTTCGACCATTCGTTGTGAGGAAATCAAACGAAATGTGAAGATCTCACGAATTGTGTCCTCTTTCTTCTTTTATTCTCTCTTTGTTTTACCTCCTCATGCTCCGCGTTACTTTTCATATTTTAATTTGTTCAGTGGAGAAGTTGGACCAAAAAGAAAATTATTCGGATGAAATAGATCATAAAGGTGATGTAGGGGTTGCAGTTGTTTTCACCGGTTCCAGCTGATGGTTCGCGTTCGTTAGAGCATTTGTTATAAATATCACCATATGTGAGGTGTTTGTCGAAACATGTGGTGGGTTAAAGAACGCTCATTTCAAAATGTGACCCGGATTGGGAATATGAAAGCCATGACCGGGGCTCTCGATCAGATGCGTCTACTTGTTTTAGAGAGGTTATTCATCTTTTTTGCAGAAGTCGACTATACTACCCTGAGTGAAGTCCTTACCAGTGAGTTTACTCACGTGCAATATGTCCCAATCACTGCCACGGCTCTACTAATCGCATGTGTACTCATCAACCGAAGCATCCCGATGCTGCAACCGCAGGATATTCTGGGATCGGTAATGAAGGAGGACAATCGGAGTTTCAAGTGCGTCTACAAGCTTGAATTTATGTTCCTCCACTATTTCAAAACGAGTGATCCGTCTTGATTCATCTTCTTCCTTTTAGTTATTTTCCATCCGTGCCGGAAAAGTTTTTACAACGCTTTCTCTCATTCCCGTCACACGTTGGCCCGGACTATTTCCTAAACCTACCGACCCTGGTAGTAGTTGAGATGATGCTCACTTTCACAGTGAGTTGATCTGCCTCCAGTTACTTTTAACGGGTGCATGTTTATGCATTTTAGGCATTGAAACCTGCTGTACTGTCCCGTATGAATCCGATTGTACTTGGAACAAAAGGTCCAGTTATGCGAGGTGAGATATTTGGTGGAGTGAGATGATTGGCTGATACGCAACGCATACATGTTTGGTTTATTTTTTTCTTTGCTTAATGGATACAAAGTGGATAGTTGCGTTGTGCAGATATAAGCATACATACCTCTGAAAACAATACAAACATCTATTTATAATGATTTTCTCACAATACCTTGCCCGTGCTTCATGGTGGTGCTGTTGAATGTGAGTGGGTGTGCCAATAGTTATAGACGATGTTATGGCCTAGTAATGCAGACAGCGGCGTCCAAACATCTTCTCAATCTCTTTGCAACGTTAGTCTGATATAACTCTCTCGTTTCCCCGCAACACCGCTCTCATCATTTCGATCTTCCATTCCCCACTTTCATCCAAACGGGCAGTCAAAATATGACAACCAAGATCGCCGCACAAGCGTACGGCTGAAATGATTGTATCGTATGAACTGAAGTGAATGATTGCTTTTAGCACTGGGCTACAAATATTTCTATCTTAATTTTTGATTCTATCTTGTGTTAAAACAACGCGTATTGAACTAACATGTGTTTGTGACTGATCCGTGGGGGTGCTTCATTTCAGTGGAAGCAATGCAAATGCATCGATCTGTTATCACAACGGATGTCACAGACATCATCTCTGTGTGTGTTTCCAAAACACTGTGTGATCGGATCAGGATCGGATGATGATCATGAGCAATTTGGGTATGTAGAAAATGTCGAAAATGTCTCTTTACAGGCATGGGAATTGTGTTTGAAGTCAATTTATGGGTAGAATATGTCAATGCTATGAAACAGAAACGCTCGTAGGGGACTTAGGATTTTGATGCTTTTGGGATTGGTATGATGAAATTGTAAAGTAATTCATTTACAATGGTCTTGATTTCCCCGGCTAGAAAAGTGGGTCCAAATTTGAAGAATTCCTGAGGTAAACCGTCCGGGTCTGTAGGAGAGGAAGAATTACATGTATTTAAAAGTTTTGGTACATCAGTACTCGAGAAAAATTTTATGTGGCTAGTTGGCAGTAAGAGGGGTCGACGACCGGCATAAGATTACGGTAATGAGAGCGTTAATGTTGAAATCCAGCTCTGACCGCATTTATTTTCTTTCATAGAGAAGCCTTATACCTTGCAACGGGTGTTCGTTGTTTCTAGTCTTCAGAATTCAGTCTGAAAATGTTGCGTATGATCTATTTATTTCAACTTTGATAACCTGACCAAGTGCCTGATGGCTGAAGTATCAAGGGGCTTGCGAGCAAGCTCCTTTTGTCTCCGCAGCGAATTTAGTAAGGGAGAGGTTATCCTTCCGTTGGACAAACTTTTAACAGTGTTAATTATAGATGACAATAAATATTTGAGTATACAAAACACACGTGAGTAGTGACGAAGAAGATGAAAACCATAAAGAAAACTTTGCAAGAGATTCATTGAGAAGGCCATATTTGTGATTGAGAAACTGTGGAAGTGAAACCTAATGTGGTCAAGGTGAGACATTTATAGACATGATGTAAATAAACTTCAGGTCGAACTAAGAGTAAATAGTGGTCGCTGGTGAAAATTGGCGCTTGATTACCAAAGAAAAAAACGATGGGGTAGGGGGTTGCAGACCGCTCGGTTTAGTGGATTTTGCCGTGTATAAAGCACGGGAAGTTAACACCTAGCAGCATGCATAAATAAATCAAAGATTCTCATACTATATGATTGTGTACAAGAATTTGCTGTGTACATGTTTTTAAAAATTGTATGGATAAAGCGGGAAAAGCTTCGGTGGTATTGCACAGCTAAACATTCACCGCCTTCTGAGCAGTACTGAAAGAACACGAATATCTCTCTGCTACACGTTGCAACTCACTAGCACGCTTCACGACCAAACCCAATGTGAAGAAACGAAGATATTTAGTTATCTGGTTACTTTCACTATATTATTTTATAAATATCTGACTTGCAATATCGATTCGTTGTGGTTCTCTCGAATGCATCAGTTCAACCGCACCTTTTGATTCAGCATGGACAATTTTGGCATCTGCTCTGCTGGAACGTGTCACACCTGTGCACACCTGCCTGCTGCTTTGTTGTCCGGGTTTTACTGAAATCTTGCAAAACGGAGATGTTGTCTGGATCAGGCTGGCTCAGTCCATGGTGAGTTTTTAAAACTGCATAATTCTTGCTCATTTGGGTAACCCTCATTCGCATTTAGATGTTTCACTGTCATTCAAACGAAATCCTGTTTAAACTTGGATTGCCTTCCCTTCTGAAAAACAACTTCACGTCTGTTTCAAACATTTGGGTAAGTAT